TAAACTTGAAGGTGGGAACGCAGCCAGCTCCTGACGCCTGCACAGCGAAGCCTCCACACAGGCTTGTTTGAAGTTCCTACTCGGCTATTGAACATAGTGCTGGTCAAGACTTTGCAGGAATCCGAATGTCTACAGTGGCATGGTTCCTCTTTCGAGCACCCTTCCAGGAATCCTTTCAGGACCGCCGCTGAACAGGGCAGTCCGTGCTGCCTTGCAACACAAGCCGCTAATTCTGATAGGACGAGATTCGATATGGCCGGATACACAAGCGACTCATTCATCGCCTGGCACAGCTCGCCGAGAGCCACCTGAGCAACGTGCTGCAAGCAACCCTGCCAATGCCGCAAAGTGGAGATGTTCTGCACCCTGCTACAAGGCCACTCGGTAGGCAGCTGTGCATGGGGTATCTGTAGCACGTGCTCCGAATTACATGTCGCAGTGTGGTTGTGTTTTGACAACGAACTGACCGAGGGATGGGCGACGAGCCCGTGGTGAGCCGAAGATCCAGAATATGCTAGCAATCGAACGGTTCATGACGAGAGGAGGAGGCTTTGTCTGCTCCACTCAAGAGAGCAGCCTGGAGTCTTTGGATTTGGGCGGATTCCTCCCCTCGAACTTTCCGCGGCCCTTAATCTGAATTTGGTTGGTGAGCTACTATGGCCTGTAACTGCTGGGTCTTGAACCAAATAAACTCTGGACCTGCAAGGACAGCCTCGGATTATGTCTACAGACATCTTCGAAAAACTGGCGAGATGCTGTCCCAGGCTCTTCCGTGCATTCACTGGATGTACAGCCAGATGTAGTTGCCCGCAGGAGATGGCAAAGCAATCGCTGAAGAGCTTGGCCTTTCTGTGCGATGCATCCCCGAAGGGATGTGTTGATGCATTTCGGCTGTTTTGAGAAACCATGCAACAGTCTGGTAGTGTATCTGAAGCCATGCACAACCACCCCAGGTTTGGCTCCCTGTCGTGTCCGTGAATCAGTTTGCATCTGTGGCAACTTTACAGAAGCTGTCGGCTTTGCAACCCAGCACCGTTGATGCTGCAGAAAAGATGAGAGCCGCTCAACAAGTGGCCGACTCCACTACAAAGCTGCTGGTGGCAGACCGCAACACGACGGAGCATCGACCCAAGATGCAGCTCGGCTACTAACTGTTTTCTGGTTGCTTGTATCCTGCTTACATTCAGAAGCACAGCCCACTGATTACGCGCAATTTGTAGCATTCTTCTTAAAAAGGCCCAGAATCATCAGCAGCCTCCACCAAGAGAAGCTCACCGCCAGAGAACACATCCGAGCTGTTGGCAACGTCCTCAATCACCTGGGAGTATCGCTCGATGAGATTTTCCCCAAGTGCCCCTTGAAGGCTCTGAACCCATCTTCTGAGATTCTGACGACTTACAAAGTGGGCGAGGATTCTATGCCTTTCATTACATCTATGGAAGACGGGGCTTCGAGATGGGACGTCCCGCAAGGTGATTCCTCTCATATTCGATTGGTAGTGTGCCCTGACGAAGGAAGCCCGATGTTCAGCAGCTATGTTTTTCTGGCCACGAGGAATGCCTCCATCAATTTGTGCCGCGATGAGCTGCTGCTAGGCTGCTATATATTTGCTTCCAAGGGAATGTGCAGAAGTATTCCGTAATTGTTGTCCAGCAGAAGCCGAGTCACAAATTGAGCCAGCATTGCCATCGAGTGCTGGCATCGTCGCCCATGATGAAGAGATCCTCGGATTCGAGTAAAGTTCTGGTTGCTCTAGATACATGTGCTAGCTGCTACGGACATCCTGTGTCTGAGGAATGAGTGTGCTCACGTCGTGGCTCTACAGAAGCCGCAGAAGCCCATGGAAAACGCACGGGATCGGCAGCACTCTTTGTGCTGCCGGCAAGCGATATCTTGATGCGGCCACTTGGAATGGTTTAGGGGTTTAGGGTTTAGGGTTTAACTTAATTTAGGGGTGCTTATCTTCGTGCTACCCAGGCATCTCCTGACGATGTTCTGCAACAGCTCTTCGGCCACCACATCCTCATTGAGCAGCTTGGCTGGAGCAGCCCTTTTACTCTCGCTTTGTTTTTGCTGTGCTGTTCAGGAACGGCATGACCCCGGAGTGCGACGACCAGGTGAACTTCGACCGGGTTTGTGTGATTATCGGGAAGCTTTGCAGGACGCTGTTTTGTCAGTTCAATTTGTCTAAGTCTCCATGAACCAGTGACTACAAGGCTTAAGTTTCTACTCTTACTTAAATTAAATACTTATTATATGAACACACTGCTCCTATCTATATAGACTGACAGAGATAGAGATACAGATAAAGATAAAGATAAAGATAGAGATAGAGATAGAGAGAGAGAGAGAGAGTGAGAGGGAGAGAGGGAGAGAGAGAGAAAGGGATGGAGAGCGAGAGAGAGAGAGAGAGAGAAGGGCAGATGTTCCAGTGATTACTGCCCCTGAAGGATTCATCAGGAGAGCTACGAGCACAAACGCTGGTGTAGCTGGGCTTTCGCTTCCCAGAGATGCCAATTTTCGGGAACTTTGTTGCTCCTGTTCTGGTCTGGAATGGAGGCACAATGCTGCTGCAAATAGTGCCGATGTCACGGGTCATGTGAACGCACAAAGCCCTAGCTATAGTGATGCGATCTTGCTGCCAGACCGGAAACAACCCCTTTGCGGTGCTGGACACAGCCGGCCAAGCAAACTTTGAGAAGTCCTGGGACAAAGTACTTGATTTGTGCATCAAGGCCGAATCAATCCCTGAGCCACTCCCAAAACCAAGCCTCTCAATCTAAATCCTGCAGCAGGCTCTGTGTGATGAACAAGTCCATACTCTGTGGAAGTTCACCCGCACGCTTATGCAACCCTTCCGCGACTTGTGTGTGGAGCTTGTGCCTTGGTGCATTTATGTACTGTGCTGGACTAAAATGCACTGTGTGAGTCTGGCTTAGAAGTCATTGTCCATTGCTGATCTGCACTAAGCAAAAGAACAGCAAGAAGCTCATGGCGGTGCATGATCATGTGCTGAAGATGAACACGAACTTCCTGGAACGAACTCTTAGCCAACTGGCTGCCGATGTGCTGTGCTCCACTCAGCTCCACCAGCCGCCAGACATCGCCGGGGTTTACAACGAGGCGGGGCAACGAGGAGTCGTTTTGGTTCCAGGCTTACTAGTAACCCTAGCCTACGGCACAATCCTAATCCTAATAATCTATCAACACTGAAGCCAAGATTCACAAATCCCGTTTCTGAATCCGGACCTAGCATGGCAGCCTACATAAAAGGTGCCGTCGAGGTAAGATTTGAGGTGAACATTACATGCTCGAGTTTCGTAGCACGACGATCTTGCCTCCAACTCCAAAGGCTGAGTAGCTGCAGAACAATGCAGGCAGTACACTCTCCGATGGTGGCTTCGGGAATTAGAGGCTCACTCACTTAGGCACAAGTGCTTGGACCCCGAAAACCCCACGCCCAGACCGCAATGTCACGCAGAGAGAAACTTTAGGGTTTAGGGTTTAGGGCCTAGGGTGCAAAGGGAGCGAGAGACAACAAAAATAGATAGTATAGATATAATAATATAAAGGGAGAGAGAGAGAGAGAGAGAGAGAGAGCGAGCAGAGAGAATGACAGTGTCAGTGAGGTGAGTGAGAGTGGACGTGAGTCGTGAGAGAGGAGCAAACGAAACAGAAAAAACACCATAAATATGGAAACTCCGAATGAAGCCGAAAATCGCAAGAGATGGTGAGAGGGAGAGAGGAGGCCGAGGAGGAGGAGGCAGGAGAGGGAGAGGGAAGGGGAGCGAGATAGTTATAGGCAGAGAGAGAGAGAGGGAGAGAGCGAAGGAGAGACAGAGAGAGAGCAAGCGGTGGCGACGCGAATTCGAGCGATTGATTCTTTTTAAGTTTTGGTCACTAGTACTACTGTATAGCACATCGACCGATTGGAGATGCCAGCCATTAGACCACCAGAGCATGGACCCAGCAAAGCGAACAGCCTTCGGGTGTGTATGATTAATAACGACGAAAAAATTGCGAGAGTTTGTCCACGGTTTGGTGGGCACGGTTTTCGCCAGGGCCCGGCGGCAAACCCCACACGCACAATTCGGACACGCTTCGGGGGTCTGATCCAATGATTCAAGTAAAGTAGGAGCAGCAGCAACAGCAATTAAATAGGGTCCGGTTTGGTTGCTTGATTGTGGAACAGGTCTTGCAAATTGGCATTCGCCGCTCAACTTTGGACAACGAGGTTCTGAAAGAGCAGGTGAATGGCTTCCTCTCCTGCTGCCACGAACTCCAGGAGTACGCACTTTACCTTCGGAGCTTCCCATGTCGGGCAGCCGCCTTTTGCTCAGCAGAAGCAACACAGGAAACTCGGAATGAGATTCTCAAGGCTGCTCATGAAGAGTACGAGATGATCAGGGAGATCGAGGCCACAGCCGCTGGGTCCAGTGTTCTCAAGCAGCACTCGCTGCACACCACGTTTCAGGTGTACCGGGAGATTTTGGCCACCATGGCAATGCACCAGTTCAATGATTGCAAGGCAATAGAGGACATTGTGCAAGCATGGTACCCGAAGTGGGGCCAGTCGTCCTGTTTGGAACAGGTGTTTCGAGAGCTGGAACAAGCTACGAAACGTGTGGGCCATGTGGAGAACTCGATGCCGAACCTCACATGTGTGGCTGTGAGAGCTTTGGGCAGAAGGGTTTGCGGCGGGGAAGACACTCCGGCCACGCCGTCTTTGTCCGAGAAGGATTGGGAGGGTCAGGTGGTACGCAACCTCAAGGACAAAATTTGGCATCCCACTTCAGCTCCTGCCTGCACCTTGAGTTTGGTTTAGCTCTTTTCGTTTGGAGGCGGTGCCAGGGAACTGTGGGTTGATTTATAGCAGCCAAGGCAAAAACGTGCGAATCGATGACATCTTGAAGCCTTTCACTACCATGACAGCTTACTCCCAGACACACCACAACTTCAACTGTGTTTTGGGGTGGAAGGAGGCGAAAAGGCCAGGCTCAGACTGTTACTTTCTCCCCTTTGTTCTTGCAGAACACAAATCGTATTTCACAGGAGTGGCATGAGCCCTATCGATTCGATGAGCAGTATGTGGGTGGCTGGATGCTTCCGGGCGGGGACGCTCTTCCGGCATGGGGAGTCTTTCTTTCTGTGCACCGGCAAAAGCCCTGCAGTCGTGCACGCAACTACATGATGTATTCAACAGCACTTTTCGGTTGATGTTTATCCATGTCATCATAAGTACATTAGTTTGCAGTTTGTCAGTAGTGGGTATATACAGGGAGTGCCCTAAACCCCCAAACCCGAAAGTACTCCTTCTGATGCCAGATTCACTGAAAAGCGACAATGTTTGAGCAAAGGCTGTCCGTCTGAGAGAGATTGGCTTCAAGTTCGAAGGCAAGCTGCCGCCGGAGACAGTCGACGAGAGACGGATGCCAGCGAGAGCAAAGAAGACGACAGAGTTCACTGATCCGTTCGAAGACAGCCAAGACAGCACGCAAGCTCTGGCGATGGAGAGTGGGCCGAGACACAGCTGACAATTGCGCCTTTTTGTCGGTTTCTGGAAGAGAGCTATGGCTGTAAATTTGTGTGCTACACTAGAGTGATAACAAATTCTATGGTATGTTGACCTCGCAAGGAACATGTTCCGGCACCTTCTTTGTGGACTTCACGATGCTGCTGAATTCAGCACAGGATTAAGAGTAGACTGAGAGTTTTCCCTCGCACGAGTTTGGTTCTAGAAATGAGAAAGTAATTTATCTGTAATAGATGTTGCAAATAGAGGTTGAGATCTTCTGCTACACAATCCATGTTTGCCCCGCTTCGTTGGAAAGCAAGTGTGGTGGGATCCTCTTTCGCAGAGGGCCCAGAGCATATTCGCTGCTCGTTTTCCTCTTCGTATCCCAGAGCATCATGAGCATCACATCAGCCGCTTTGTCCGACATCCTCACCGCCTACGAGATCCGTATGCCAAAGAACAGCAGCAAGCATGCAAAGATCAGAAAGTTGATGACATTGGACGATGTCAAAACAACGTTGGGTGAGGATGGGCTGGAGGGGCTGGAGCAGAAAATGCTCGAGATCGAAAAGGGTCGTGCATCAAAGAAGAAGGAGAAAGAGCCCGAAGCCGAAGATGCTACAACACATGAAACTGGACTCAAGAGTAGTTTTTCGTGTTATGGCATAGCATAGAATTCCTAGGTGTATGTCCGAATCAACAAGCCATCACGAAACTCTCTATCTTGTGTCTTGTTTATCAGGAACACGCCGACGATGACGACCCTGCTGTGGCTGCTTGCTGCCAGCTGCTCGAAGAGCTGGATGCTGAGGAAGAAATGGAGGAAGCCAAGGAGGAAGAGAAGAAGGATGCGACCGAGGCACGGCACTGTTCAGTTCGGTAATCGTTAGGATCCTGTAGTTGACTACAACATAGTAAAACCGTAGGAAAAGAGTAGCAACATGACCAAAATCGTTTTTCGGTAAAGGTGTGCAATTCTTCCCAATAATAATTAGTCCGTTGTGCAGCAAATCAGGATCAAACTGCAGCATCCCAGCCGGCGGAAAACACACGGGCCTCGAAAGCTATGCTCAGCAAGACAGAGACAGTTCCGCGATGGCTCTTGCAGAAATTTCCGATTCCTGAGGGCGGCTGCGTACACCATACTCAGTTTCGGGATTCCTCGCTGCCGCTTTTTCAAGCAAAGCTACACAACGCGAAGATCTTCGAGGGACAGAGACAAAGCTGCAGATTGAAAGTGGTGTGGTGCTCTTTTATGCCGATTCCGCTAAAACAGCACATCAACTAAGGAACAGCATCAGTGCGAGCTACAATCCAGATTTGAACCGGGAGCAGCTGAATGAACGCATCACTCTTGTGAAAACCATGCCTGCAAGGCAGCGAAGCATGGCCCAGGCTTACTTTTTCACGTGGGTTTGGCTTAGTCGTGCACTGAAGCCAGCAGAGAAGAGGAAGCGAAAGCGAGCTGAAGCATGAACAGTGGTCAATAGCAGGCCCTCGTAGTATCCACAGGTCCGAAACATAGTAAGATCTTGCATCAAGTGGCTTTCGCAGTTTCTCGAACGGGGAAAGGGACACAGCTTGCGTGTGCGAGAAAGATCGATCAGCGAAGTTTCTGTGTGCGACATAGCTTAATCAACAAAACACAGAGCAGCGAGACAGCATGCAAACATCTATGGAGAACGAAACTTGAGACAGCATGCATAGGGCAACCCTTGATTTAAATTTGTAGTAACGAAAAGGCTCTTGCTTGGCTCAAGCCTTGGGACGCTCCACCATTTCTTCCTAAATTTTAAAGCTGGCGGTTTAGGGATTAGGCCCTAAACCCTAAATCCTAAACCCTACCCTGAGGCTCCTGAGAGGTCTTGGGCTTTCTCGGGAGGGCTTCGGTTTTGGGGGCTAGGGTTTGGGATCTCACTTTCAGGGTCCAGGAGCCTTAGGGTAAACCCTAAACCCCGTCTTCATTGTTTTTCGGCCTCTAAGGGTTCCTCGAATGCCGCGATGGGTTTTTTGTGTAGGGGTTGAGGGTTTCAGTGTCGAGGCTCCAGGATTTAGGCTATACGGCTTCAGGGTTGAATGACAGGGTTTGAGGGCTTACATCCTGAGCCCAATATAAACTCTGGTAGGGTTCAGGGTTGTAGGGCTTACAGGCTTTAGGGTTTTGGTTTCTGGTGGTGTGGTTACTTTGCAGTTCCGCGGGCCAACATTCGGTTACGCCTAGGATTCCGGTTTAAAATTACAGGAATCAAAGTAGCAGTGGTTAGAAGTTCAACGTATAATAAGTGGGAAGAAGTTATGGTACAGTTGCCCTACATGAAACCCAGCCTGGCTTCTACGTCCCCTGATCCTTTGGGTGTGGTTTTGCTGGCTTGCCCAAGCTATTTTGGAAAGGGGTCCCTGCTCATTACCTTACTAGTAGTATCCCCTTAGTTAATTGTCCACGTATAACCACACTACACCATGACTACAGACCCTTGTATCACCATTATCATGATGAGAGTCGCTGTATTATCATCTTGCAGGCAGCTTGGTGACCAGTCTGAACCTGAAACAATATCTCCGTCTCCCAGCATAAGACTAGCTGAGTCAAAGCCTCCAAAGCCTAGGGCGTATAGGGCTTTTGGGGTTTAGAGGGTTTAGGATGCAGAGGGCGACGGGCTTAGAGGGTGACGAGCACGACTTCCTACAACGCCTCAGGCCCACACACCCTGGAAAATTCGTTGGATCCACTAAGGAACGAGGGCGCCATCGTCGCTGCGCGCCAGAACAAGGCCGGCAGTGGATGCTTTGCAGGGCTTGTTGGGTTTGGGGTTGGAGTTCCTTTACAACTACCCAATACCAAAAAGGGAGCCCTGTTTATTCCTAGGCTACCTGCGATCCTAGACTTGCATTCAGGTGCAATTTTTCGTGTAAAAAAAAACTTGTGCTGAACGTTCGCATACCTTCCCGTACCTTTACAAAGCTCTAACCCCGCAGCCCTAACCCTGAAAAACCCACAACCCTCAATGCTTGAAATCACTCCCTCAAAGCCGTACCCCTGCACTGAACAAGGGTTTGGGTGCATGTTGTATGACAGGACAATGCAACTTTATTAGAACTGTGAATGAGGTGGTGTTTTTTTTCGGACCTCCACATCACAGCCTAAGACGTTTGAGCAAAGCCCCGCACTCTAACTGAGGGTTTAAGGTTTTGGTGTCGGCGTTTTGGATCCATTCCTCCACCTTTGAACTTGGAGCCACGCTTCCGTTAGTTAGCCGGGCGTAGCAACATAAACACTGCACGGCAGAACCAGACTGAGTTCTACCCTGGTGAACTAGCAATATTTGTTGTCAAACCTTTTGATGGACCTTGGTACATCCCCGAGCCATAAGCCCGAAGCCAAACAACACCTCATCTCAGAACAGGAGCTCAAACACAAACCGAAATGCTGAAACCATTATAAAACCCTTGAATACTGTGCCCCTAAACCCCAATCCCCAACTCCCTCAGACCCCTGAGCCCTGCCTGGAGTGCGTTTTGTCTTTTAAAAAAGGGGTCAAAGCAACATCAATTGTTTCTTGTAGTGCTATGCGTAAACAAAGCCTCGAGGCGTGTTCTGAGATTGATGGATCTATAGATCCTAGACTCTACAAGCCATCATTACAGCAAAAGAAGCCTTGAATACTAAACCCCTAAGCCCCAAAGCCCTTAACCCTAAAGCCCTATAACCCTAAACACTATAAAACCCTAAACCCGAAACCCGGAATGCCAAAAGAGGCGGAGATCGACTCCGACGATATCTTCAATGCCTTGGAGCGCATTGCTATTGGCAACTCCTCGGCGGATGTTGTTGGGTGGTTTGAGGGGATGCGTTTTAAAACTGTGGTTTAAGTATAATGTACCCCAAAAACCCTATTCTAATTATTAGGACCCCTACACTACATTAATGGGGTTTAGGGGTTTGTGGGCTTGGGAATCTGGGATGTTGGGAGGGTTTGGGTGGCGCCGGAGTGCAGTTTTTCGGCCTCACCGAATCGGTTTGGTCCGGGGGGCCCCCCAGTGGTGTTATATAGAAATAATTGCCTATACTATTTTGGGGGTTCCTTGTTATAATTATAGTATAAGGGGCCCCAACACCCTATTCTAATTGTTAAGGCCCCTACATAAGCTGTTGTTCTCTCATTTAGCAGGCTTCCTAGGATGTTGCGATGCCTTAGTATGATTCAGTTTCACGTGCTGCAGAATTTCCATGTCAATGTAGGCTTCTGACCAGTGGTTGTTGCAGGGGTGTTCCCCGTATAGTCCTTGTAAATATTTTTGACACTTTGCTCTATAACAAAGCCCAAAGCCTGTTCTACTTACTCAGGCTTCTACATCACTTGCTTGCTCCTTCCCTCCTGGTGGGAAATTGGATAACGTCCGCTTGTGCTAGACATGCATCAAAAGCTGTAGTACCTCGTATGCTCCGGCAGATTTTCTATGCATCGCTTGTTTGTCGTGGAGCTTAAAACCTTACCACCTTACCCCTGCGCCCGCGCAAGCCTGATATCCTAAAGCACGGACAAAGTTTTTTTTGTTTTTTTCGGGGGGGGGGGTCAAATGGTGGAGGATGGGCGAGGGGGCCGGAGTATTTCATTGGGGCTTTTAGCGAACGTAGTATATCGAGTTTACTTGTGACCCTACTTACTAAGCCTGAACCTGTATAGATCCGCTACAGAGCGCTTTCGGTAAAATATGCCTACTCGCAATACTCATCCCGCTGAACGTTAGATCCCGAATAGAACCTTCTAAGGAAATAAGGGTTACTTCATTTTTCGCCCTTCTTACCAAGTTCTCTGATCCTTAAAACAAACCTGAACACTTTGCAGATCCCTCACAGAACCCTTTAAATGAAAATATGGCTACCTTGTTACTCATAAATACACTGCCTAAAATTCGTTCCCTGTTTCCCGAAGCCCTAAAACACTGTAATCAGTGCACCCAGGCCTGGAGAAGAAAGACGCAGTCATGTCCGAGCAGAAGAAGAAGCTCGTGGCCTATCATGAGGTCGGTTTTACGTTTTAGCATTTCGCGGCTTATAGGGCTTAGGGTGCAACCCAGAAGCCGAAGCCATGAAGGCTCTTCAACCCTGGGCCTTGAAGCATAAGCCCGAAACCCAAAAGCACCCGCTCTTAGCACCGAAATCCAAACTGCGGTACTTTACCTCTGGTCCCTGAAAATGAGACCCTAAAATGCCTTGAAGCCCTACTGTAAGCCCCCAAACCCCAGCAAAGATCAAGCATCCGAACTCTGAGCCTAAACTCCATGCCCTCAAAGTAGTGCTTAGGGCAAGGTTTAGGGTAGCGTTGAGGGGCCAGAAGCTCTAATTAATTTCCCAGACCACAATGACGCACGTTGTAGAAAGCTTGTCCGCCGCAGAAAGGCTTGATTGAAACGGCAGCATTGAACGATTGCAAATACATATGAAGCCCTCTAGAGCGTCTACAGAACCCTTCGGACAGAACCCTTCGGACAGGCCGGTCATGCGATCCTGGGCGCTCTGATGAACGACTACGACGTCGTGGCCAAGATCAGCCCATACCTCAGACTATTTATAGTTGAAATCTTGGCATTGCGGGTTCGGGTTTGTGACGGTGTCCGATTCAGAAGCAATTACCTAGGTGTATTCTCAGGGATTAAGTCTTTAAGTGTTTCGGGCTCAGGTGGTTACTTCGACGACTTTTCAATGGTTTTGTCAGACCTAGTAATGCTGTTTTGCTTTGGTTTTGGGCCTCGGCCTAGATAATCGGAGTGGCAGTGGTGCAGCCACAGGGATTTAGAGGAACGGATCTGTTCCCTTAAACTCTAAACTTTAGCCCATTCGAGACCTCACCGAATCCATCAACAGTGTGCGCCGCCCAGCAG